TCAGAGGTTGGACTTCATCTTGCAGGTCTTTTCCACCCTTTATGATTCTGTGAATAAATACAAGGATAAGATATTTTCTAACTGCTGCAGGGATGCATACTGCTATTGGTAAAGGGAAAGTTTAAGTCCCCATTTCTCCTTTCTACTCCACTGCATTACTCCTGGCCTTTACTCCTTATCATACGTGGAGGGCTTACTAAATTTTCTAAGCTTTGAAACATGTTTTATATGGAATTTCTTCCTTTAAACTTACAGAAATTGTTCTCTTTATGGATCTCAGAGAGCTTCAGGGATGTGGGGATATAAAATGGAGGGACACCTGGGCTCTAGTGATGTCCAAGACAACTTCCTGACTCATTTCTGGGGGGACATCTGAGAAAATAGGAGCCTTCTTCCCCAGCTCTACTATGGCACTCAAAGAAACCTTTGGGTACTGGAAGAATGGCAATACACAGGTTGAGCACATGTTGTGGCTCTTGAGGGTCGTTTGAGCTGCACAGGAGACGTAGCTGAGTGGTGTCAAAACTCTACCCTTTTCTCTTTCTCCTCTCATTTGTATAGCAGATGCTGGTCCCCATCCCTCCTTCCCAGTTAGCAGAATGCTAGTTTGCCTATGATACTGGGAAGTCTCAGCTCATTTCCAAAAACAACTGTTTTCAGTCTTAACATACCAATGTTATGGACTGATTTTTTTTTTCTCCACCTAGGAACTACTTGTTTCCAGTAGATTTAATAGCACTTTTGAGATTCATCTGAATGAGATTTCTCTCACTTTGATGATGATAATCACAACACTTTGTTTTTAAAATACAAATGACAAAGGGGGACCTCTAGGGTTAAAGGTAGAATGTATGAAGGGTGTGAAAGTTTGGAACAGATTTTGTTCAAAGATAGAAGAAAATCTCAGCTAGGGGAAGCAGAGCTATATAAATTTCCAAATGTCCATTCCTTGAGGTTCAGCCTTGGTGCTAATTTTACTTGATATTTTCATTAGTGACCCTAGCACAAAAAGTAGGAAATTGATCATTTGGTTTGGCAGCAAGTAACAAAGTGCTGTCAATAAACTGAAGAGAAAAATGTCAGACAGGAAGAAACAGACCTGCTCAGTTACTGGGATAATAGAAATGAAAAAAGTGTAGTTGTGTGAGTGCCAAAGCATGTACATCTATTGAGAAAAATTTTTGCTGAATCCTGAGAGTTTATTAAAGGGAAATGATAGATGAGTAAGGGCTATTAAAAAGCTGATATAATCCTACTTTTTTTTGTTGTTGTTGTGTTTTTTTTTTTTACTGTTGAGATAAGGAATTATTCATTTTGCTATACATGACTGCTGAACTTCAGTAAGCACACAACACACTGTTCTAGTCAGGTTATTTGTAAAAAACTTAACAGAAGCAAAAAAATGATAATCAGGAACACAAGATTTACTGTATAACAAGAACTGAAGAAATTGCTGCCCCACTGTCTTACGGAAATGAGGATGGAGAGGGAACATGATTACTCATTGTAAGTGATCTATAAGGACAGATAAGAAGTGACACATGAGAAAAAAGTTAATGACCAGAAGAAATTTAGACTAAAGATTAAGAAAATGCTTCTGAGAATCTGAAGTGAGATTATGAGATGGTTTCTGAGAAGCAGTGGGAGGATTTGCACACTGTGAAACAGTGCTTGTTAATGCCAGGACAGAGATTATGTGACACGCTAGGCTGTTACAGCAAGGGGGTGGATTCAGTCTGAAGCACAGAAGAAAGTTAATCAGTAGGAAACAAGTTAGTAAAGAGAAAAACAGTTGACAAACTGCAATCTAAACTTTTCAAATATTCAGTCCACCACTTAGTTGTTATTACACAGGGAAGGTTCCAGCAAGGTAATAAAGGAAGCAAGGTTGCGAGAACCACAAAATATCTCCCAGGCCCTCAGAAAAAGTACAAACTTACTTTGAGAAGAAGACTTTAGAGAAGTGTGAAGGAAGGAGAGGGAATCTCTCTCATTGAAAGACAACAGGAATAAGGCATTTTCCTAACCTCGTGCCCACGTTAGGATACCTGACATACCAGCAGGATTGATAGGGAAGGCAGCTGTTGTCAGGTCAGCAAAATATCCATACCCATTTCGTGTATAGTAGAAAGACATGTTAGCCACTACTTCTGTGGTTGCAAAAATGGGATGGGGAGAGAAAGCAAGAAAATCCAAATTTAGCCACCTTGAGCCTTCTCTGCTGGCACTCAACAGAGGAACTGCTTATGGCTGCTGCCCCATCCTCTGAAAGCAATACCAGCATCTTTGCAAGAGGGGTTGCTCAGAGTCCTGTGCATAGGTCTAGGGACTTCCCAGAAATTATGACTATTTAAACCATTGTTTTTTTGCTTTTCACCCCTAAATGGCTGTTCTGGCATTCTCAGTCCTTTAGCTGAATTGAGCATATTTCACTTTAAGTGGATGCAGCAAAGCTTGGAACAGGCCATGCTTAAACCTTTGGTGATGGCTTTAAAGGAGAAAGACTGGTTGAGTTTAAGTTGAATCCTCTCATGGGACTTCAGCTTATTAATACTGATAAAATTTTTGCTACATGCCATTTTATTGTTTTTATAAAACATCCATACACTAGAAAACAGCAAAACAACAAACTAAACAGTCCCGTGAAAATGGCTATGTCAAATGCTTCTTTGACACATGTAACACCACTCTAATAATAATTGCTGTAATTGTTTCAGAATGAAAATGAACACAAAAACCCGCAAATGGTTTAGGGGTATTCGTGCCGTCAATGTGTTAACTGCTGGAGAATGTCCTCAGATTTCTTCACAGTATAAATTTTTACTTATATAGCATGCTAGTTGGTGACTCTCAGGCAGCACATGTGAAATGAATTTGCAGTTTCTATTACAGCTAGTTGAAATTTTCCTGCACAAAATTTTTTCTAATTAAAAGAAAAAAAAAAAGTTAGCCCTACCCATTAATCAGGAAGGCAATACTTTGTAGGATAGTATTTGTTCAGATATTTTGACAAAACATGACTAGGTTTTTATGAGAAGCATTTTCCAAATAGCCAGGAAGATTGCATGGGTGATTTTTGTGTGTTCCAGAAGAGCTCCACCATGGGAGTCGTCCTCACATGGCACTAGTCTGGTAAAACCCCTCTTGTGGAACAAGAAACTGAGTTTGGGAAATTCGCCTCTTGTCAAAGGTCACCTCCTGGCTCCATAGCAAGAACCTAGCCTCCTGCCGTTTGTCTGTAGCTGGAGTCACAAAACTTCCAAATTTCTATTGAATCAGCAGCCAGAACCAGCTCTGGCTTCCAACCCTCCTCACATAAATCATGATATGCAAAACTAACAATTATATATATGCATTATTAGAGAAAATCAAGTTTTTCTTGAAAGCCCACAGTAATTTCCAACTTTTAAAAGCCGATCTAGTTAGAAAAACCTTTTTTCTTTTTCATCTATGAATAAAAATGTTTTGCCTCAGTGCTATCACATTTATATTGCCCTAAAATAGTTAAAAATCATTAAAATTCATTTTTGATGTTTGAGTCACTGCAGGCTTGCCTAAGAAATAGTGTTCAGAACCAGCTTGGTTTTGTTTGGTTTCAGTTTGTTCTCTGTTGCTTAGTAGACTTTTGGGGCTTTAGTGAGATAGTTCCAGCTGACAGATTTTTAAATGGAAAAATGCCCAACATCACTGCAGTAAAACAAACACTAATCCTTGCTTGTGCAAAATGATGTTGGTCAGAAGTTGGTTTTGAGTAATTTTTTTTAGGTATGAAAGGCCAAAAAGCTGCATTTGCAGCTTGGTGTCAAAAGTTAGTTCAAGTGAGCTGAACAAAGCTATACTGCTGCCCCTGTATCACTTCTTTACAACACTGCAGTATGGATTTTCCAAGGGATCCTAATTCCCTTTGGGAAAATTGGAGCGATAGTTTCTCAGTACTTTTGGAGAAAGGCCCATAGTAAGTTACTTAATTGCACTTAGTAATTATGTATACACTACTGAGTATAAGAAAAAATGACCACAATAGTTAACTACACGATAAAAAGATATTTTTAAAATAAAAAGGGAGGCAAAACATAATAGGATCTAAAATACTTAAGGAGGTAAAGACAGAGAGAGAGTTTATTGCCTTGATCCTATAAAGGACTTAAATACCTAAAGTAGGATTTAGGAAGAATTCAGGTGCCTAAGTTAAAAAATGCGATGACAGCTCACACAGCTGCTGCCTAACACAGAAGTGCCTAGAATCACAAGGCTCTTACTTAATTCTAATTTGTATCTTTATAGTGTCTTGGATTTTACTTGTGTGCACATTCGGTGTGCAGCAGCTAGAGCAGTTTAGCACCTGTTTCCCATTCAGCCAATTACAGTCCTCAGCTGAAATGTCCAAGGATTCTATTTTGTCAGTGTTCTCAGGCCACAACAGGCACTCTCATATTCAGAGATTCTTAGTTTGCTGTAGTTGCTTACTTTTAACGTGAGGGATGGAGAGATTGAATAACCTTTTTTTTTAACAACCTATCTCTTAGATTACTGATATGAGAGTTGGAAGATTCAGTTTGTTTCTGTCTGACTGAAAGTGTTCAAACCCGTCACCTCCCTTTAAGTAATGGATCTTAAAGAGTGACTGCAGGAGTTTAAATAGTCTTGGCAGCATGAATTAGAGATGAGGATCTGTCACTTCCTGCTAAATGCCCAGTTTCTTGGGCTAATTCTCGCACATCATTTCTGTTCCTACAGGGGACAGAATTCTTTGTTTCACAGTGGCACAGCTTTAGCAGAATCATGTTTTTTTTCAATAGCCCTGTCTCTTGCTGGGTAGAATCACTTTTCTGCCATATGTTGATTTGAATCTTTTTTGTTTAATGGGGATACACAGCAACAATAGATTGCTGTATGGGAGGCGTTTGTTTTCTCACTTCCTTCTGTTATCCTGGCTGCGATTTAACAGAAAACCACAAGCCCTGATGCTTCTTCCTTCTTCCTTTTTTTTTTTTTAACAGAATGGTAATTGGATTCTACAGTTAAGAGGACTCTAGGCTGTGAATTTTAAGCACATTGTGTTGTCTGTGTTGTGATCTGAATTAAGTTTCTACGGAGTGGCAATAATGCTGCTGCATTCCTGGGGTTTGGTAAGTCTGTCAATTATACTTTGAAATTGTAGAAATACACTGAGTATCCTGGAAACACCAATGAGTGAAGTCACTCATTTCTCTGTTTTCATGTATTTCTTGTTTTCCCATATGTTATGATATGTGGTTGTGCATTCTAAAATATACATGTGCAGGGCATCAAACTTAAAAATATGATGAGAAGGTTTTTGTTTTAATTATGTCCAGTTTAAAAAAGTAATTTAGCTCCAGATATGAGTAATATTTGCCTTTTCTATAAGAAGAGAAACTTTGGACTGATTGGACTCTTTCCTTCAGGCTGGTGTTGCTTGGTGAGAGAGTTGCGTGTAATATCCAGATTTATAAATATCCAGATTTATAAAATAGCTAAATATTCTGTGGAATATGTGCTCTTATTAATATTAATTGCAGTTATTCAAATAGCATTGCACTTATGGTGTGAAGTACTAAATTTAAAGGGATAAAGTGCAGGAACTGTTGGTGCAGGACTGTAACTGAATAATAGTGAAGGAAATACTAAAAGGTCTTCAATTAAAGAAGTGGGTTTTTTTAATAAAAATTGCTCACTAAGAAAATATGCAAAAAGCAAATAAGTCAGCTTATCAGGATGTTTTTCTTCAGCTGAAAGCTTTTGGCTAACAGTTATGTTGCATATACTACCTTTTTTTCCTGTGTCTTAATGTAGTAATGTTAAAGAAAAAGTACAAGCTGATTGTTTTAAAAATAATGTATAACAAAAGAAAAGGTAATGATTGAGGTATGTGTTCTGTGTTCTAATTTGATATTTAAAGTACAATTTATCTTGGTATCTGCTTATATATTCTCTTAATATTTTCTAATATATTCCCTGAGAGAATATATATGCTCTCTAATATACCCCTTCCTATCAAGTTGGATGTTTGCATCCATTTATGATCATCCTCTGAGAAAAATTATATTGAGATATATTTGATTTTGAATATAGTTTGCCAAATAGGAGCAGTCTGTTTAATTTATAATAATCATTGTTCTTTTTTATTTCACAAGTAAAAAAAAGAGAAGAATTAAAGTCATTGCATCATATTTGCATTAAAAGTATGCCTGTGTTGGAAAACCAAGTCTTAAGCCAAGGGAGATGGAATGAAATAAGCTTATTATGCTTAATGTCTAGCCTCTTGAAAAAAACCTTTCATTTCTGGGTGGTCAGTAATAAATGCAGAATTAAACTGAGAGTTTCAGTCAATTAAATACATTTGAAGGAATGCATATAGAAATCAGAAAATACTTGGCAACCTACTCATAGTGGTAAGTGAAGGGGAAAGCCCCTTATTTGTTACTACTGAACTGGACTTCAGGCTGGAATAAGGTGTCCTACTATGGACCATGATTGTCAAGTACCTTTGCCTACAACCAGATAGCATATATCAGTGTTGTTAGTACTAGATAAATCACTGAGTTTCTAGATAATGATAAAATTGTTACCACTCTTTCAAAATCCAAAAGGAATTGTTAAAGTTACAAAACTTGGGTTTACTTTTTCTTCTTAGACTAGGTCTTTGGTATCAGAGGGGCAACTTCTCTTTCTTGTATTTCTCATTCATAGAGTTCCGTAGAGTTTGCATGTATATCCACTTTTTCCTTATCTAATGGGTGTCCTTCGTCCAGAGGTTTTAGAGCGCTTGGCAAATATTTCACATCAATGAGAATAGGCAATACATTATTTTTTTCCCCAAAAACTGTGAATAGTCCTCTTTACTAAATGTAGTGTTCGGTGGAGAACATCTGGAGCTGGACAAAAAGTGATTAATTTAAATTTAGTCAAGGTGGCAGAAGACATCTAATTAAATCACCTAATTGGCAGTAACTTATTCTGACTATTCAGTATCTCCTTTCTACTTTGGCTTGTACCTATTTACTGTTACTTATGTCCTGTTTGCTTCTTGGGCATTAGTAGCATCACCCAGCAGCACACTGTGCACTATAGGCTAGGATATCACAACCACATCTCTTCAACCTTTTCTACATTTATGCTACAGGAAGTATACACCTTTATTTCACTTTTGTCAAAAACACCAGATGACAGGGTTGAACTGGAAGACCATTAGTTTTTTTTCAATGGAACACAAGATCATACAGGCGAGAAATGAACACTCAAAGTCTTCCTTTCAGCATGATTGTATGAAGAACATTGTGTTTCAGTCTTTCTCCCACCTATCTTTATCCTTCACCATATTTATACAAGAAGATAATTGAGTCTTTGTCTGTTGTCCACAAATATTCTATGTAGGGACAAAAGAACACCTAATTTCTTTTCCATTCCTGAAAAAGCAATACAAGCTGGGGTTTTTTTCCTCCAACATATATTGGACGTAATTTGTCCATGCAGTATTAACAAGTTTCAGTCGTATTGAGTCTCGGCTGATCACATTTTGTCACAGATGGCTCTGTGGTAAGGAGCCCATCCCAAACAGACTCTGTCTCTCTTATATGTTCCATCCTTGTTATACTATATATAAGCGTTACATTTTAGGGATCTTTTTTAATGATTTGTGTCCCTCAACCCCTGATTTTCCAGGAAGGCTTTCACGAGAGCTGAAAGACTGTGATAAGCCCATGCATATAAGAGTATTTTTAAACTCACTTATTTTATTTGCGTTCTTATTTCTACCTCTGATTAAAAAAAATCACAATGTTTTAAGTGAACAGCTTATCCTGTTGTTTTTCAGGGATTTGCTGACATTCTGGATCTTTTTCACATTTGTGTTTTGCTATGCTGGTATTGGTAGATCACCTGAGAGCCCCACTTTACACCCAGTTCATGCTTACACTTCACTGAAGAGCTGAAAACCTGACCAGCTGTTGCCATTGTTTTTCTTTATGACACACTGCAGAGCCTTCTTACAAAGTGCTTGGTTTGTGTCCTGGGGCTCTCAGCTGTGGAGATTTGATGTATTGCTCACTCTGTCAAATTTTGTGGCTCCTGTAATATTTCATCCTTCTGCTGGTACAGCTTTAACACCTCAACTCCTGGCCATAAATCTAAGCCAAAAGTTAGCTATGTAGATTAGATGTAAATATTTATTTTTAATTGTAGAAATAGAAGGTGCAACATGTTTTTCTTTATTCTATTTAAACATTTGGGTTTTTAAGAATTGGAATGGGCTGCTCAGGGAGATGGAGTCACCATCCCTGGAAGTGTTCAAGAAACAACTGTATGTGGCACTTTGTGGTATGGTCTAGTTGACAAGGTAGTTATCAATCAGAGGTTGGACTCGATGATCTCGGAGGTCTATCCCAACCTAAATGATTCTGTGATTTATTAAAAAAAACAACAAACTCTTAGAGGTTCTTTTTCTTGGAACCTGGATGACCTTAGTAAAAATGATTAGTGGAAAACTCTGGTGGTTACAGGACTAATGCCTGTGGGTAACAGTCTCTCATAATTTTTGAGTTCTGCAACATCATTAGCAAAATAAATAGTTTGGTCAGTAATTGATTCCAGGCTTAAAAGCAGGTTATAATGATTGTAGGGCTGAGTCATATCTTAGACATAGTAACTAAGTAAACTGTTATGGTTCAATAAACAATAATACATCAGAATGAAAGGTTTCTGAATAAGTTATATGCTGATGGATTACAGCATAGCAGAGTCTGCCTGTCAAGAATGAGGAACAGGAAGGCGTCAGCCTATAGTCTCATTATCCAGGTGTCTTTATAACTGAAAAATATTTACATTGTAAGAGAAATACCAGTTATTTGTAGAGGGAATTTTAGGTAGAAGTAATAAGTAATTATTAGGAAGGAGGAAGCAAAAGGGAAGGTAGGTAATGTACGTTTTTTAAAGTCATCCTGCATCTCTGATTATAGTTACACTAATGAGACTGAGCTGTCCCTCTTCTCACTGAAATCACCTCTTTGCAGATGGTGTAAAGCTGGAAAGTCATGGATGTGGCTCCTTTCCTACTCTCTGCTGTCACCTAAAGCAGAATATAGGTTATGTTCAGATTGTACTATAGTTTAGATTTCCCTGTGTCCACAACCATTTTGGAAGCACAATTTTAACTGGAAGGAACCTCTGATCCTTCCTTTCCTGCCCTAAACAGAAGCAAATGAATGATAGTATAGAATCATAGATTCATAGAATAGACTGGGTTGGAAAAGACCTCCAAGATCATCAAGTCCAACCCCTGATCCAACTCCAATTACTATATCATGGCACTAAGGGCCACATCCAATCTCTTTTTAAAAACCTCCAGGGATGGTGAATCCACCACCTCTCTGGGTAGGCCGTTCCAATGCCTGAAAACCAGTAAATCTGAAACAAGTCTTCAGTCTTGGTACTGCTTCACTTTGCAACGATGGTCTCCTTTCTGTAGGTCTCAATAGAAAGTATAATGCCTTTATCAATTCTTACTGCAAATAACAGCTTCTCCCTGGAATGACTATATTAAGAAATCTTGCTTTAAAAATTATAATTTTAATGTGATTTATGTAAGAAATAACAATGCCTATAGGATGATTGATTGTTGCTTTTAAGGAAGGACTTGTACGATGTCATTGTCTGAGATATTTGAGTCACTTGAATTTTTTTTTTTTAATTTTGGTTTTTGGAATACTGGATTTTACCTTAGATTTCACTATTGTTTCCACTGTATACCTCATTCCTACAATTCTCATATGATTATCCTATTGAAATAAAATATATACATGAAAATATATGTCTGTACCTCTGAACAACGTAGTTACAACCTTTTTAAAAAGATTTGCATTAGCTTCTCTAAGGGTTAGTGTTTTCTGAAACAAAATCAAAAAGCTTGCCCCCTTTTGGTTATTCTAGCTTTTCCTACAAGTAAACAGCTTGATTCATTGCTTCATAATTTGTATGGACTGACAGAAGGGAAACAGAAACTGCTTGCACTTTTAGATAAGGGGAAGGACACGCAGGTGGTGGAATCACTGGTACCAAGTAGGAGCTGTTGGTTGCAGTGTGCTGGTTGAGTTTATCCTGCAGCCAGCGGGAAGGTGCTGCACAGTGGACGCCTGAAGACCAAACTGGGTGTGCAGCACAGGGCTGGTGGACCTACTCTGCTTAACTGCTGTGTGGGTCACCGGCTTCTTGGTGTACAGGGGTCTTCTGGTCAGCATCACTACTGCATATTAGGGGTTAAAGAAAAGAAATTTTTGAACTGTGTATAAAGTGTGTGAGCTTTCCTCCAAAGCAATCAGTGTTAGTGTCATTATTATTATCTGTGCTTGCCTGTAGTCCTGCTTTGATCCATATTGCAAACTGCCAGCACTGCCCTATCAAAATGCACATATTGCTTTGAGAAGACACTGCAATTTCCCCTGCAGTGGAGGAAGTCTTGCAGTTCCACTCCTTGGCTCTACGAGTTAGGATTGGGCCCTACAAAAAAAGTCTGTGAAGATGCTCAAGGGCAATTAAAAATAATTGTGAAGCAAATTCATAATGCTTATGAAAAATTCCATTGTTATCATGGAAGGTGTTAGGTAGTGCTGAATGAAATGAAGAAGTTCTTTTTCTAAGGAAGCACCCAGTTTTTATTTTTCTTTCATTCCAGAAAGAAAAAAAGTTATTTAATTTTTGACCACTCAGTCAAGATACAGACAGACACGCAAACACATGTCCCTAAAATTGGAATTATTCATATTTATTTAGAAACAGTTGATGTAACATGCTTTATTTCATGTAAATTCAACTCTCAGCATTTTCCATTTTAGGTTGGTAGCACATGGGAATTTTCTGTTCTGCTGTACAAGCTCGATTCTCCAGCCAGAATGTGCTTCTCATGATGCAGAAGAAAATTCACATATCTCCAGTCAGATGTTTTCTTTCAGGCTTGGCCCTTAGGAGCAAGGCAGTTTGAATTCCTGCTTAACTTGGTCAATGTGCTGAGTTGGAGATATACTTATTCAGTGTTTACTAAACTAGTTGGGAACAATGTTTCATATGAGATGGAGAAAACAAAATATCATAGTTGGAAATTATGTTTAGTTTTCCCACTAGAAAATTGGCAGTTAACGACTGCATTTTTTGTAAAAAAAATCTTTCAAGCAAGAAACTGAAGTCAGCTCTATTTGCACAAAACTAATGGTCTTAGACTGTAAACAATTTTCTAATTACTTCTTGTCATACATAGTGCATCCCAGAAGCAATGTGTTTGAATGCAAAAGAACTGCACTAGTAGGAAAGTGAAGTTACAGATAAAAATAGAGATTGTTGCCAACTTTTATTTAGTATGGTAAGTTTGGCAGTGAAACTTTAAAAACTGCATATGGTATCAAGGCCATTTAGTTTTCAGCAGAACAGTATAGGTATTGAACACAGCAAAAAGAATAAACAATTTTTTAGTAACAGGGAGCAACAGAATAATTTTTTTCCTATTTTCATCCTATAATGCATAACTTTTTCAATTAGGCAGGAATTTCACTAAATAACTGCAACTTTAATTTCTTTTGTTTTGTCATCGGAGTTTGGATTTCACCAGTACCACGGGACAGTTTCCATATGTGATCTGCATAATCCCCATGGAAGGCAGCTGAGTTCTGGGTCACCAAAGCTTCAACCGTATTAGAGATTGTGGGTGTTAGGCAAGAATATGGACTCCCATATGCTCACACGGAGAAGTATTCCTGCAGTTGTAACTTGCTTTTAAGCGACTGACTTTTGTCCTTACGTACTCCATCTCTTGAGGAATGCACTCAGTGCCAGTAGCTCCGTATGCAGCTGCAGTGGGAGCTGCAGGTTGAGCTCTGGGTGGGCGGACCCCGAGGTAAGAGGCCCTGAACTGCCGAGCCTTTGAATAACAGGTACCTGTGGCCCAGCCGGGTGATCAGGCTCTCGGAGGCACAGCAGGAGCTGAAGGCACAGCTGAAGACCCCAGACTATCTTGCACTTAGACTGGGAGGGTGTAAAAGCCCAGGGTTTCCTTTGTTTGGGCCCCTCCTCAGAGGCACCAACTCGAGCTGTTGTTGTGCCATGATTAAAATATTTTCAGTATCCCTAGACCTCTGAGATTCTATGGGAAAACCTGGGGTTGAGCTGGTAAGGAAACTTGGTCTGACTCTGTGAATGTGGGGTGTGTCGCTGTGAAAGCCCCAGTTCTGCTGGTGCAAGTGTGACTGCCAGAGTGGTTTCTGAATGGTCAGACAGGAAAGTTTCCTTAACACATCCTTCAGTGGCTTCTAGTTGTGTTGTATTGGAGCATAATGGGACAAGGCGGCAGTGAAGTCCCTGTGCATTATTCTGTGCCTTTTGCTCTCATCTTACCTCAGGCGTTGTATCTGCACAAGTGCCAGGACACTGAAATGCCTGGTGTAGCCACAAACTACCAGCTGGTTTTGCACTAGAGAAATTTCCACAGAAGTCTGTTTGGACACAGGCAAAGGAAGCACATACCAGTGGCTGCTGGGAGCAGTTGCTTTCTGTTCCTTCTGTGCAAGAGCTGCAGCACTGTGTACAGCCTGTAGTACCCTCCTCTTGCTGCTTTGCTGATGTTAAGGGAGGAAAGTGTTGGAAAGCACAGAGTGGTAGTTGCTCAAATGTTTTCAATGGCTTTTTCCAGCCACTGATTTCATGCTCTCCTCATTTTCCTCCTACCTTATGGATCACAGAGCTACAAAAGTGAAACTTTTCCAAGAATTTTCTCTAACTTTCTAGGCACAGTTTATTTCATCACCCACCCTCCACCCCTTTTGTATGACAAGCTCTTTCTCATTTCTAGAACCTCAGACAGTGTAGAAGTGTTATGAGATAGATGGATTTTTTTAGGGAAAAACTGCTTGCAGGAGTAATAGTAGGAAGTGCTTATGTAGGAGTATGGTGGGAATTTAAATTTGCTTTGACAAACTAGTTATTCACAGTACTAGTGAATTATGTTTTGAGTGATCTTTTGTACAGCTGGAGTTACGCCAGTGGTTTTGCACCAGTGGAGATTTCCAAATATTCTGCCAATATACGTACAAGTACAAGGTGACAGCACTGCAAAAAAGTTTCAGAACAAGAGGCAATGAGCACAAACTGAAATAAAAAACAAGAAAAATATTTTTTACTTTGAGGGTGGTCAAATTCTGGAACAGGTTTTCCAGAGTTTGTTTTCCAAGCTTATTGAGTTGTCATCCTTGGAAATACTAAAAACCTGAGCAAATATGACCTGAACAACCTGCTGTAGGTAACTCTCCGTGATCAGTGGACCAAAGACCTCCAGCAGTCCCTTCCACTCTCAACCAATCTGTTATTCTGTTGTTGTAAGAAAAGCATGCCATAATGCCTTTTGAAGTAGTAATTCCCTGGAGTATTCTTCCAACTTCCTGGAATTCGTGGTTTAGACACTTAATACATTTTTTTTGTCGCTTTAGGACATTTGATTATTAAAAAGGATGTAAGTGTAAATTACAAATGTGAAAAAACAGGACACCAGAATCATTGGTATTCAACAGCTCCAATTGTATAGTTACCTAGTTGCAAAGTCTGAAGTTGAAACGTCATTGACTTCATGGGGCTAAGGATTTTATTTGTCACTTTTTGTATCTAACATAAAATACAAAATAAAGCAAAGTGAGTAAGCTAGTTATATATTTAACCATCTATAAAACCAAAACCTCTGATAATAGAAGTTCAAGTTACTTCTGCCTCCAAACATCAAGCAGCTGTCTCTGGTCTGCTCCTTGCACGGTGTCCTAATTGCAATGCACCAGCCATGTGCATTACTTGCTGGCATGAATGGTCTAGCTGCTTGGCAGAAGGGAAGAGCTGAGAAGCTTCATTATTTTGTAGAAAGGCTTTTAAATGTCTAAAAGCAACCTGGGAGTGCACAGTTGGGGAATGGCCCTTGTATATGACAAGCTGCACTTTGTACTTTGCTGTACAAAGAAATCTCTTGATTTCTGATGTTTGAGAATGGAAAATATTATTCCCCTGTTTGATAAATGAAACTGTTTGTCTGCAAAGCAAGCATATAAGTAATAGAATAAACATATTTTCTCACTAAAGGGATAGTTTCAGGAAAAGAGGATTAAAATTCTTGGAAAATCAGCGAGGCAGCTACAAGTGTCAGGTGATTATATGGTCTTACATAAGTGCAGTGTTTGGTGTCTAGCCAAGTATTTCTAAAACTTATAGGGCAACTTCTGTTCACACTTAGGCAAGCATAAAGCTGAAAGCATTTCAAAAACTCAGAAAGCAGTGTTTGCTCCTATGTTAGAGCTTTTCTTTGGAAAAGAAAAAAAAATCTGTATTAAGTCTTTTTACCACAGGTAATTCCTAAAGGGGATGATTTGGTTATAACAGGGTCTTGTGCAAGAATTGAATTTTATTCCTGCCTTTCTTGTAGATCTCCTGTACTGTATGTGACGAACCATTTTGTGGCTTGATTTCTGGCTTAACCATAGCAAATGTTTTTGTATGTCTGATACTGAAACAATACAGTGTGTGTGGTGGTGGGTATGGTTGGTAGGCACATTACCTATTTGTTTTATGGCAGTATATTAAGACAATTTTTTTATTATTTTGGTTTCATGAAAAAAAAAAACACCTAGTTGGAACTAACTGGGAGAAAGTCTTTTTAAGTGTGAAGGTTTTTTTTAAATTTACTTCTATTTAGTCTAGTACTGCAGGTGGTGATAAACTGCTTCTGAAGTGAACCTATCTTAAATAAGTAATTTGTTTGTATTGTTTGGCAGATGTTTTTAGAGTGTAATAATCTTTCACAGTTTTGATTTTTTCCAAGATAGTATTAAGAATGCAAATTGTGCTCCATAATGTTATTTTTCTTGTACATGCACTCTTTTTTAATATCATGCTTAGTTTTTGAGTAGTTTAAATCCCATCCCTTTTTCACTTCAGGTTTGATTTAGCTTTAAACTTGTTGAGAGACATAATACCATTGAATAATTCTTTCTGACTCCTGCAGGTCTTCAGGTAGTTAGAATCAGAAAAGGAAGATCTTACATTGGTAGAATATTGTTTGTAGTGCTGAAGATGATGGGCTAAATCTGGTGAGTACTAATTAGATAGAATTTGTCAGTCTGTCAATCAGTCAGTCTTCCAGATTTTCCTGATCTCATACTGAACATGCACCAAGCAAGAGAATTGATACAGTAAATTCAAGAAATGTCTTCAGAATGATCCTTCTTTTGAAAGAGATTTATGAGATTTATGAACTGATGTTCCAACAGAAGCATAAAATGTTTCCAGATGACGACAGGATTAAAGATGTCAGATCTCAGGAAAGGCAATCGGAATAGACAAGAATGCATTTGGAAATGTGTTAGCTTTTCCTAAAAGTGTGATTTTGGACATCAGAGAAGTCCTGGAATGCCTGCCAGGCTGTATTCTCTGTGCCCACAGGGCTTTTAGCACTGTAGTTGCCCACCAGGCAGCATAAGATGAATCATCATGAAAAGCAAACAAGACAACTTTACTTGAGAGAGAGAATATAGAATATGAACAATCCAACTGCCATCTGTATGTTTTTCTGATGAATGGCATTATCATCTCTTTTTGTGCCAAATGAGTAAACTGTTTTCACCACACAAATACTGTCTATTCCACACATGACATGCTAACTACCAAGCACAAATTTCAGGGTGATGTTTGCAATGTGAGTTCACTCTGCCTGCTGGAATCCTGTCCAACAAGTTCTGGTTAGAAAACTAATGCCAAAAGAAGTGTAGGTCTGTGATGAGTGTTAGGTCATCAAAACTCTGCAGCTTTCCAGGAACTTGTAAAATGCAGCTGCATCCATTATTCTCACATTATTAATTAAGTACTTGTTAGCAACCAGTTCACTCAGTTACAGAGAGATGTACAAGCTGAAAATGTGTAACAAAGGAAAAAAAGGCAAATAGGAGGCTGTTGTGCAAGAGTGTGTCAGTAAAGAATTGGAAAAGAATAAAAAGAAGAATTAAGATGTTGAGGTATTCTCTAGTGTCTTACAGGACCTTTACAGTACCTCTAACCTGGTTTTAGTAAGAAAAATGACATTGTTGGTTTACAGTCTATTTAAGTAATACAAATATGTATTTGATACTTGCAGAAAGAACTCCTTTTAATCAATACCTAATCTTTATAAAACAAACATTTTTTCATAATAAAGTTATCGTAGCTAAACTATACTTCAAATAAGGTTTTCATATTAGCAAAACCTAGAGATCTGTATTCTCAAAAAGTATTCACTAGCTGAGATGTAGCAACTCTTAAGATCTTAAGTTTTGGCTCATTAAGTAGTGTTTCTTTGTGCAGTCTGTCTTACATATAATAAAGCCTACTCACAGATTTTCCAGTGCTTCTGTGCCAATCCACAATTTCTGGCAGCTCATGTTTATTCAATGATAATGTGCTTTCAGAGGAATAATATCAGTAATGGACCAATGGCTGCCTGAGCAAAGCTCTGTGGAAAGAGGAAAGTCATAGAAAAACTTCAGCTTTTCATATTGATTAGAGCAAACTAATTTACAGCAACAGAATATAAATATAATCAGAATTCACATTATAAGATGAGTATATAAGGGAAACAGTGTGACATGTTTGACAGATGTCCTTCCTGGTCATGGTGCTTTTGGTGTTTCTCACACAGCACTATTTAGTACTACTTGATTTTATTGAATGGTGTTTGCACTGATAAGTGCAACATTGAAAAATACTGCCATTACAGAGCAATAAAGTAAGATTTACCATGGAGCACACTTTCATTACATGGCTTTCAGGAGTAGTGCAGGAGGACTTTCTGAGGTTGTGTTTGTATGACTTCAGTCTTTGAAGGCCTAGCTAGGCTTTGATTATGCTTCTAACAGTACGTATTGCAAGCCATTTTTCCTTTAAGATGTGTCTTTATCTTGCATTCTGTATGTACCTTTCATCTCAAGATATATTTATTAAATAATTTATGATGCACTTGAGGTTTTTTTGTTCCCCCCTCCCCTCTCCACCTTTGGGGTGGAACAACCTGCTGTGTGTCAGCAACATCACTTGTTAGGACATGAAGTAAGGCACAATACCTAGCTGATACTGCAGTGCAAAGATTTGAGAGACAAAAAATGCACCTTTACATGAGATTCAACTCTTGACATTGGGCATCTCTTCCAATAACTTATTAGAACTTACTGAAGTTGTTAGGATGAGAATCTTAGTCTAATCTGAAGAATGTTGGTTTCTGAAATAGTGTTTTATTAGAAATTTCATGCTCTGACCCTGATAGAGGATCAGAGATTACCTAATGAATTACTTATGTCACTTCCTGCTGTACATTAAATTTCCATGTCGGCTCCTGTAGTTTGTATGTGATCAACTCTTTAACTCTGGGAAAAATAAATAAAATAAGAAGATAAAAAGATATTAATTTAAAATGTAGAAAAAGTTGTAGTAACTTCAAATTAAATCACATTTGGAATAGTTCACCTTTATAATAAATAGTGCTAACACAAAGAATTTTTTAGTATCTCAGACTCATAATGCAGTGATTTGTGTCTTGAAGGGGAGAGACATTTTTTAAGCATTTCCTGATACTATTTGCCAAACTCTGTTAAATGATTTACCGAGTGGTTTCAGGGTTCAGTTATTGTACAATTCTTCAGTGTTAATAAATCACTCTTTCATCTGGAATGGAATTACCAAGAAAATTATTTCTCTTGATATTTTCTTGGAAACAGTAATCAATTTTGTGTCTCATAACATTTGAATTCCATAATGGTTATATGTGTTTATTTTTTTTAAACATCTTTAATCATTTCCACATCATTTCTTTGTCTGTCTTTCACAAGAACCTCTAATATTACCAGTAGCAGTTCTGTTTCTCTGTGTTGTTCTTTGCCATATTAATTACCTCATTGGCTCTCCCTTGCCATAGGGGAATCACATTTTTCTTCCAAACTGTGCAATTTTAAAAAATAAGTAAAATAAACTTGGATCCATTTGTTCAAACCTTTATTCGCCCTTTCAAACCATAAGAAATAATGGTGTGCCATAAATCTGGTTGTTTTTTTTCCAACTGCGTCAAGTGGTCTTGTAGAAGATAATACTTGTCCTACAAAACTTGCCTGACTTTCCTGTTGAGTCATCTGCATTCACCAAAGCTATGGTGTGTCTGAAGGAGGAATGTGTCTAAAAAACTAGTGATTCTGTAACAGCGGATTCTGAATCTTCATTAAACCTGGGAGATGAGCTGGAGCTCACATCCAGTAACTCTGCTATCAAGTCATGGAAGATAGGATTGGTCTTTGGGCCTTGCAGTCCCCCTCCCTGCCTGTGCTTTATTGTGAGTAATTCAGCTTTTGAACTTTAAATGCCCCAGGATGAGAGTTGCAATTGTATTCCTTGAGAAACTGTCCCTTAGCAGAAGTCCAAACATGTGAGAAACTTTTTCCTGTTCTCCAGACTAAGTATTGTCTACCTTATTTTTATTGAATTCTTCTATTTTTTTTTCCTGCCTACAATTCTAAATGTTGTATCGGCAAACTTGTATGACCCTCCTAGTTGCTGCTTAGCCAATTGCCTTTTGACAGCATATTTGATGTCCAAAAAAGTCAAAGGAAAAAGCATATTTTCTTAGTTATTCTGGGTTTGCAAGTTATTTTCTGACATAACTTTTGGTGAAAATTTTCTTGAAACAGAACCTTTTTGTAAGGTATAAGAAGCAGTAATAAGAATTCATATTTTTAACTTGTTGTAGCTTCTCCAAAATGTCTACTGTGTTGTTGACTCAGAATAGCTTTCAGAGTAGGAGAACTGGATCTCAGCTGTGATACTTGCATAAGAAAATAAAACAAAAAATAGTAATTTTGTTGTTTTTGAGTTCTCTGACTGTGTAGATTCTCCTCATGATAAGCTTTGCAATCTTTAATTTAAAAGATTTTGTTATACAGAAGAAGGGCCACTTGTTAACAAAGCTTAGTTTGCTTGTGGTAGAAATTAAAAACATGTCTGACCGCTTTTCAAACCAGAATAGTGAATTGTGTTACAGTACCGAGAAGGCTGATACATAAAAGGAAAGCAAAGCCAAAGAAATACATGAGAAATCTTGAAATGAGAAATCTTGAAACTCAGATTTATTAAGTTATGATACATGGTAGCTGTGTTAATTCATCAGAAAAGAATGTTATTTTTTTTTAACTTAATGAGCACATGAGTCTGTTTATCACATGGCTCTATAAATAAGTGTCTTTGCAGATGTTCTCTGTTGAAAATACTTTTTCTCTCCTCAGGGCATGCTACACTATTAAATTAAACTATGAATTTCCTTGCTTATTACAGAAGACATTTAGAACACTGTGGAAGGCATAGCCCTGCCATAACTTTTTAATATCAGTTTTAAGAACTATTTATGGATTATTTCAGTAGTATAGCACTGACATATTTTAACTGGCAAAACTTTCTAATATGAAATTTACAATTTTTGTCTAATGTCAAATGTCATGTTGGCAGTGTTATCTCGAGATGACAAACCGAGCTGTTAATGACTGGACAGTTTCTTCAACAGGCAGAATAAACACCATCACAAAACTATTTCTGAAGAGGCTTTATAAAACTCTAAATAGGAAAGGATGATTGAAAAGTCAGGAGTTACAATGTAGTTTAGAAACTCTGAATTATAGTACACTCTGAAATACTCCCATTTATTTTACATTTCAACATGAGATAATTCATTATTCCTGTCTTTTACAGTAAAATACTGAGGTCACTTGGAAATTTAACTATTAGTAAAGCATAATAATAGCTTTCATTTGCATGCCCTGTTTAAATGTGGTACCTGCTGACTTCTCAGCAGTGAAATTTGTTCACATCTGGGTCTACTGACTAAGCTCATACTCAGGTAAATATTACAAACCTAGAATGTCTTTGCTTTCCAGTCAAAACTGGCTGTATTGATGCTTGCAAAATTAGGCAGTTGTCACATTATTTAAATATAGCTATTATATTTATTATATTATATTATTATTTATTGTATAGGCTATCTTGCCTGGACATAAGAAACATTCAGCATAGTTTCTACACACTGTAAATTATTTTGGAGTCTTTCTAAGGAGAACTTTCTTGGCATAGTTTCTAAGATGCACTCTTTCCTCATTAGAAGAATAACATAGGGAAACAGTATGAAACTACAAGAGATGATAAAGAGCTGCAGAATTAGCTTTGTATTTTGTGATAATACTTGTGAAATGTAAAAACTACATTATACACAGTACTGTAACAGAAGTCCTGATGGCACTGTTCTAGGACTCCATTGTACAGTGGCCAAGGATGTAGACACCCTTTGCAAAGAAATAACCCAAGGTAGTACTAAGTCATCATGTAACATTTAGTTCCAGTAGTTTGCCTAAGTTTGAATCAGTCACCAAGAGAGTAAAGGGAAGGAATGCTGGGTATGTGTATAGTTGTGATAACTTATTAGCGTTCATGCAACACGACCATCCATCAGACACTCTGAAGGAATGGAATGCAGTGTGTCTGCTATGAGGATATGTTTATGTTGGATTAGCCTATGCTAATGCTGAGTGTGATTTTCACCATTTTAATCACAGCACTATAGTACCTCTTTTAGGTGAGCCACACAGGTTACTCCTGTGGGCTGTCACTTGAGCACTCTTCAGACGTGGAAATGGTTTTCTTTCTGTATCTATAGTAACTAACTGCTGGAGTTTGCACTAAGTGCTGTGCATAGGCTGAGGGTGTATGACTTATTATTATCTGCTTTATAACTTATGCCAGAAGGCAATGTAGTATGTGGTAGCTAAATTATCTTGAAATAAAAAAGTTCATGATCTGAAGTGCTCCTGCTGTGGCGGCAAAGATGCTCATGAAGTTTAATTGACCCTGCCAAAAATAGCCTTTAGTATGTATAGAGAGATCCTTGGGTGTTATAATTTAACTTTCTTGATCTGAGAGCAAATAAAGTACAGTGGCTGCATGGGCTATAATGCTCTCAACTCCTATCACTTCTGTGCATGGTAGATAAGCCTTTTAGTTGGTGGTACAGCAATCAGCAGGTGAATTTATGTTTTATCCAAAACATTGCTCCTAATTAAATATCTTCTCAGTGGTGCCTAGTTCTGCTGAATTGTTTCTATTCAAGTGATAAACATTCCTTTACACATTGCAAATATAGCAGTAGGTGTAGTGGCAGTTACATATGGTGAAGAATTACTCAATGGCACCATCTTATCTTACCTATGTGTGGAAGGCAAGAGGTTTTTAGGATTGTGATACTACTCACTGAGCCAAGTTTCATCATGATTTATTAAAGAAATTAGTTTGAAAGCAAATCTAAGTGTAAAGAAATAATCAGGAAGCAAAATCATTATGCCGTATTTCCAAATAGAGTATTTTAAAACTTGTTGAGCTGCCACTGTTTGGCTTGTGCCTCTATGTCCCCCTGTCACCCTGCCACGTGGGCTTAGGAGCTATTGATTTCCTCTTCATGTTTTTTTTTACTACCATCTTCTTTTGGGATGGGGTGGTAAAATATGAATGAACTTGGGAATAAAAACCATGGGGGAATTACAGTCATGGAATCATGAAGGGTCTGAGTTTGAAGGAACCTTAGATATCATCTATTTCCAATCCCCATGCCGTTGGCTGGGACACTCCCCACTAAAGCGGGTTGCTCAAAGCCTCATCCAACCTGGCCTTGAACACCTCCAGGGATGGGGCATCCACAGCTTCTCTGAGCAACCCATTAGTAATATTGTGATATATTGTCATATTAGTGAATTAGTGATACTGCAATAAATATTACCTTGTTTATGCCTTTGCATATTTTCTAGGGAAAGTAATTATGAAGAAATTCTGTCTCTCATTTTATGTTTCTTGTCACCCTCTCTCTGTCACCAGGTATTTTAAAGCCTATTTCTTAGTAGTAGGTAGCAAATTACGGAGCAGGGAGTAGCATTTTGCAGAGCTCGGAGCATATGTTAAGTTTCATACTGTATCTTCTAGGACGTGTATGCAGAGAACTATCACAACCTAAAAATATTTTGTTGCCTTAAAAGCAGACAATATAACAAGCTTTCTTGTAAATTGTGAATCCAAAATTGAAGTGGAATTCATGTTACATCACTTTGTAAATACTGTGGTTTTGAAACTGTAGTTGGCAGATTGTTCTGATACTGGCATTTCATAATAAAGTTACATGAGTTTTTGAGAATGGGGCAGTATGTTCTCTGCCATGCCAAAACTACAAAGTGTAACTCCAAATACTGCAAGTTCCTGCCAGACAACACAGTTGGTATTAAATCATCCAACCCTTACATTGATAGTTTGCTGTAGTGGTCTTTTGTGCTGTTTTTCCTTGTGTAGAGATGGTTAACATGTATATTTGTCCTTGCAAGAGAAGGTAAGTAGGCTAAACACAGTCATCCTGGTTTATTGCTGTAACATCAAGGCACTGTAAAACCTGCAAACAAAGCAGATGGGAGAGAAATCTACAGCTTTCCTAATCCATTTACATAAATCTTCAGCTTTTCAGCTCTATTTTTGTGTATAAAGGGAATACCTCATGACTTCTGTGTACAATCTCTTACCTTTCCCATGCACGTAATTTTAGAATTTTTGTAGTGTCAGGATACCTGCACATCTTTAAATATTTTAATTATGAAATCCCTTTTGATTGGTTGAAATTAACCTCCTCCTAAATATCCACAAGTAATGATGGTTGTTGGCTAATTTTTACCTCATTGCTGATAAAACAGCAGATGATGAATGATCTGACAAGTATTGCAATATTCTGGCAGCAGTTATTAGTTTAATTAAATTATAAGTCATAATGTAGGGTATGGGCTGTTCTGCTGTAAAGCCTGTCTGTATGGCAGTTTGTATCCCCTTACTGAGTGCAAAATTCCTTAAATTCAATTAAATATTGGGTTAGAGTTGCATAACATGTAACAGCTGGCCTTTTTATAAATTCATACTCTAGATTATGCAGAGATAACATTTTGGAATTGAAATATCAAGCATTCTCCTGTTTTTTTTTCAGTCATGCCAAAACCCACAGTATCAAAGTCATAATCCTCGAGGTCTTGGAAAATAAGTTGGGTATGATTTTAAACCCTGCTACTGTGCTGACAGGGCATAAGCATAAAGCAA